ATTTCTATAAAATCATTATAAATGATACACTCCGGACAGTTTTTCCGAACTTAGAAATATGCCTTAGAATGTTTTTAACATTGATAATAGCAAACTGTTCTGGAGAGAGATTCTTTCCACAGTTAAAAAGGATAAAAAATTCTCTGAGGACGACAATGCGACAAGATAATACTGAGTTCATTGGCTTTCCTATCAATTGAATCTGATGTTATGTTTCCCTTAAATTTTGATGATGTAATAAAAGAATTTGCTCGGAAAAGTGTAGAAAGAAAATGTTGTAAATGGGTTGTATTTTATGTACCTTCTATTCATACGAATAGTGTAGACCAAAAGTATTAATGAATTAATATTTATTGATTGATAAATGAAATGCAAAAATATTGTATTCATATTTAGTTAAGAAATATTGCAACTTGTCATAAATATATAAACCAAACAATAAAAATTCTATTGGGATAGATTTTAAATTAAAAATTGGAGTTAATAAAATGGATAAAAAAATTATCAAAGGGGTTCCAAAATATTTACTGCTTAGAGACCCGCAGACTGATAATCTGACCCTGCCTCTCCCTCCCTGGCTTCTCCCCAGGAGAGACCTCTCTATAGAAGATTTTGGGTGATATTTTTTATATTTTGTCATTGTTGTACGAATTAGCATTTAAAGATTTTGGAGGGCAGTTCAAAATCATTATTTCATCATCCAAGCTGAATGAAAGAACACAGATTGCATAGGTATTTATGGCTTTTTTAAGGTTTTCCCCTGTGAGATGACATTTCATCAGTTGATGTAGACGATTTTTGAATTCCATGTGAAGAGAATATTTAACAAGAGAATCTTTGTTTCCCACAGTTTGGTATCTTTCCAATATACTTGTGAAGTTCACCATCTACTAGATTTCATTAATTAAATTATCTTTTATCTATTTCTTATGCAGTTGGGGGTTATCATTATGAAATAAAAACTCATCCAGAAAGTAAATAGCATCCATAGGTATAAAAAATAGAGATTGCGAGGTTGTCGTTATGAATGATAATGATAATTGTCATTCTCATTACTGAGCATAGCAAGGGAGACAGCTATCACCTTTATGACCACACATTTACTAGCAGTTGAGTACAGTGAGGCGTGTAATTGCCTTCAACTGACCGGTAAGATGGGAGGAAGACAATGATAGAATTATGAGATGTGACTGAATTATGGGAGAGATGATGGTTCAGATGAAACACATGGTAATATGAAAATCCAACCATACCACAATTTCGCCTTGAAGAACACCCATACCTTACGCGGATCTCGAGCCCAGCCTTCGATTCCGCTTTCTTGAAGGTTGCTCCGAACCCTTGTTTCAACCCCTGCAGTATTCTCGCGCGAACTCTCAGACCACGCGATTTTTCTTCTTTTAAGGGACCCATGATTTTGGAATGATAGGAATGATCTTTTCAATTCCTATGTTTTTATACCTACCATTCATAAACAAAATTTTTCAGAAGATATATGAGCATAATCTGATGCATTGTGCTAAATTTAAACAATATACCTCAAACATTTTTTGTTTTTAATATGGCTGTTAATTTTTTTAACATGAACAGCTCTTTGCACAATAATTTTTACTCACAATTTTTTACAACATCTTAACAAATATATAAATAATGCGTACAAAACAATTTTCGTATGTGTTATTTGTGAAATTTGTAGAAGCTCATTAATATTAAGATAATTTTCGAAAATTGGACATTCTACCTCCGTTCAACCCACAGGAAGTTTATTTCCACACTGATAACAAAATATTGTGAACTGCTTATTTTTATTTGTTTATTTTACTACAATACGTGAAAGTTTTATTGCATTTTGATAATAATTGTTCAGGAAGGATCTTTTTAAATACAAGATGGCTTGAACTGAAAAATAAGAAAAGAGCATTTAAATGTTTCAGGATAGATACTCCATGCTACTAACCAGGCCAGGTCGTTTAAAGGACCAGACGGCCTTTACAGCTCTCAGAATATAAAAATTTAAAGGAATAATTTGAGATAATTTTACATTAAAAACCAAAACAAAAAATCATATTATTTCCAGGAAAATAGTCAAACTTCAGTAATGGGTGCCCTTAAACAACTTTGTTCTTAGGAATCACTATATTTCAGAACTTTTCTTCAAACAGTAGTTTCAAACAATTCGGGTGAATTTGATTAGTGCAATGTAACGGGCATTATCATCGATTGCGACCTCTCAGTACGGCGCGTTAGTACATCTTGTGCACAGGTTTGTATAAGAAAAATAATGGATATGTGAGTAAAGTGAATGAAATATAAACTGAGAGTGTGCTGTACTATTTTCGTTTATTTTGTAAGCATATTAGATCTGTAAAAAATCATTTGTTAAAAAATTCACAACTATGGTATACCGAGTGTCCCACCTATTAGTGCCCAGACCTCCATCATCTAAACGGCTCACGATATCGAAATGCAGTTTCCGCCTAACTATTCCGAATCATGGGGCAAGTAATATGCCGCTATGACTTTGTTAGTAACATTATCAGGTTTGGAGAAATTCAATCATTATTGATCTTCTAAGTGAAACTACATATATTTTTCACCTGCAATGGAAATGTTATAAAAGTGGAAATAAGGTAGTAGGTGATAGGACAATATTTATTTTTCGTAGCTCTAGCAGCGATCGCCTTCAAGGCAGGAGGTATCTAGGTTGAGCTTGGAGGCAGCCAGGGATGAATGCCATGGATTCTATACTGTTAATATATTCTCTGTTTAGTACATCTATGAAATAAAAGAAGAAAAAAAGAGAAAATTCAAAATACTCTTGGAAGAAAAAATGTTGTTTTGAATGCACATTTACATACACCAAATTATTTGTTTTACTTTTAGTAAAATATATCTGAAATGCCCAGATTACGAATATAAATAATAGCAAGCAATGAAATTAATTTTTGTTAATTATGACACAATACTATTGTGGCAACTAAAAAGTACTTTTACTTTGATTAATAAAGTAGCGATTTAATTTAATGTTTATTTCAAATGTATGTAATTTAAATATTTATAAATCACAAGATATAACAATATCGCAAATATTTATTTTTCAAACTTTTGTTTTCCTTCTTGTGTTTGGCCTTCCCTTTCCGAAGGCAGTCTCTGGTTTACCACCTGTCTGAAAGACAATTGGGGAGCTCGTTGTGTAGAGAAAATGGCATGCGAATGCTTTTGAACGCCTGTGAGATTTCGTAGCATGCGAACATCTCCCACTGTCTCACTATCCACTGCCTCGCACACTCTCGCTCACCCTCCGTTCTCACGCTTACATTGTCAGTGAGACGACGGAAGCGCAGGCGCGACAATTTGCTACTCCAAGGGGGGGGGGCACTGTAGGAGATCGTCTGTAGTACCAGTAGCAATGCGCGACACTATGAACTAACGAGCCAAAGAAAGCCAGCAATAATCGTTCGATGTTCGCTCCAAATGCTGTTTCTGAAAAACGTGTCCCTGCTATTGGAAAGTTATCAAAATGCTAATGAGAAAAAATGATTATTTAAAAGGCACTCAATGGAAAGAATACGCAAAATATATGAGAATGTAACGCAAGCATGTGATATAGCGCCCTCACGAGCCCGGGCAGCCCGGCGCTCCTGCGGGCGCAGGCAACTTCCCCTGACTCCGCTCTTATTTCCTCTCCAAATCCAGAAAGGGGTGTACACGCGCAGATGAAGCGGCGCGAGGCGGCGAATAGTGATTTCAAACGAAAATATGTTTGCAGATTTGTTCCAACAAACTTCCGCAATTTTAAATATATTTATATTCCTTACTACTTAGTACTATTTCAAGTTTATTTTCTTTCTAAGTTCTGTCTTGTATAAACACTTTTGCCAAGGGGTAGGAATATATTTGAATGGTAAATTCTTTCCTTCTTTCCGTTTTGTGTTATGTTTTGTTAAATCATTCAGTTATTTGTTATCTATAGCAATAATGACAAATAAACAAGTCTCTATAAGTTAACAATTTTCTTTTATGAACCGAGAGCTCTTGTAACAGATACGATTATTTGTCTTTTTAACCTCGTAACCTGAAAGTATGAAGTTAAGCAATTAATGTACTAATAAGTAAATACGATTACAAAATCAAGACACTTTCAATTCAAAATATTTTATTTCACTCGCAATTGACAATTTGAAAACTGACTGATGTATTATTATATTTTAATGAATTATTTCTTTGCTTCAGTGGAGGCGTTAGGGCTTAAAGGAAAAGGCTTGAAGTGGGAACTCACAGTAGGGACTTGAAGGAACGTGACACCGGGCCTTAACACTATATTAGGCGCACCATATTTTGACACGTTAGTCGTCGCGGCGGACTGAAAGTGCGCAAGTAACCAAACGTGGAGAAAGGCAAAGCACAGAAGTAAAAAAAGCCTGGATAAAAAATAAACCTACTTAAGAAAGGCTTTGAAGAGTTAATAATATTTTAATGAAAAGTTAATAACAATGAAAAACCATTATTGTAACGTATATGCATGGAAAAGTGTTTAAAAATGACTGTGGGTGTCCCACGAACAATGGACCATAACTTCTAAATGGTTCGCGATATCAAAATGCAGTTTTCGCTCACCAATACTAAATAATGAGGCAAGTGCCTTACTTAAGGGTGGCAACATAATTTTGATCCAATATCGATATTTTTAATTGCAACACACGTCGCGTCGTAGGAATCATATTCATCAGGTGTCAGTAGCTATAGCTCACGACAAAAAATCCCCCTATAGATCCTAGTACATGTGTGTTCCTTTTCAACACATTGCCAGATGATATTAAACAATTAAAATCTGTAAACCAGTTTAAGTGTGAAGTAAAGTATTTGATATTAACTTAAATCACAAATTTATTTTAAGACATAAAATGATTACATACATAATAATGCATTTCAAGTTTATTTCAGTTTGTACACTATTTCTGCTTTACGTTTCATTATTTGTTTATTAACGTCTTTTTCAGGCACTGAAAGTATATTACATATATTTACAAAAAAGTAGTATACAAGATTCATAATTCGCAATTACCCATATTAACATAAACATTAACAATTACCCAAGTTCTGATATTTTCAGATGTATTATTGTCCACATTGGGAACATATTTACGTATCACTTTTTATTTAAAACTTCATTCTCATTTATCGTGATTTTAAGCACATATTTTAAAAATAAATAATTGTGTTACTGTTTGCATTTGATCACATTGTCATTTTTATTAAAATCTAAACTTACAAACATAAAAGTTAAACGACATTTTAAAACAAAATTTAAATTTTTTTCATTTAAAATTAAAACATATTTTGTACCCAATACAATATCGGTTTTAGCTCACCTGTGAAGATTATGGTCAATTCTGTACCGGAGCACCCCGTTGGGTGCGTTGAATTCGTAGATTATAGTGCCTTGAATGTAGTGATTAACTAAGCATGGATAGTATCGTGTTTTAGTTCAGATTTTGAGGGGAATCCGGAGGGGAAGTGGTAGGGTGGGATGGATTATTTTCTAATATTTTTTATTTGTTAATTTGGTTGATTAAATTTCGAAAGAATTACGATAAAAATTAAGTGGAAGCAGCTCGTGCATGCAGAACCGCTAGGCCGCACTGGTGGGTAAGTAGATCCGGCGGGCGTGTTTTGTCATGGCTGGGCTAACTTGTATTTAGTACATAGTTCAGTGAGCCAGGAATGTCTCCCCGCACTGAGCCGAATACGAGCCTCCAATTAAAAATTGTACTTATGTTGTTTGCAACCAGATCCTTGAAAGCAAGTAATGGAGTTGGAGTAACTTCCAACATCTGTTATGATTTTGGTGAGTACGGTATTTACGTTTTCTTTTGTTATAAGCCGCAGATCGTGCTACCAACATAATTCTGTTGCTAGCACTCTCACCAGCAGGGTGTCACTGCGGAGAGACTTTTCTGGCACGCTGTATTAAGAAACAACCTGGTTTGATAGTTTATTTTGTTCCAAGAGCCCAACTGAAGCATCGCAGGCCGCGAAGATTTAGATTCCAGTCCCGACGGTGAAGGTTTTACTTTACCAACTAGATAGCTCGATTGAGGCTGTTTAGCCTTTTCTGTGGTTTCCCCCTATCAAGTTCAGGCGGATTCTGAAACAGGAACTCAAACAACCGAACAGCTGTTGCTTGTAAGTCTCCATACCTATTCGTGAACTTACATTCACTCGTAAGGTCGATCACCTCGGAGTGACTCACCTCTCGAGGTCTCTAGAGCTGGCGCAGGACGCAGGTTGGTAACGCGCTTGGCTCATATCTAAACAAATTTAGCGCCAGTAACCTGACATCCTCCAATAGGCCGAACATTCACTTGTCTCCACACATTGAGGGACCCCGCTAGTTTCGGTACGCAAATGTCACCAGCATATTCCTACGGGCAGATTCATATATACAAATATATGTTAGGGTGGTCCTTAAAATATAGGAGTGGAAATATTTTCACTTTATTTTAAGCGCACCCTTTACCTTTTCCCTTTAACCATAATTTTCAAGCATACCAACTATTTCTCCATTATATAAAGTTTAACACATGCTTCATCGAGCCTCAGTGAATGAAGATAGAGGATAAGAATGCTAAAAATTAAGCATTTAAAAATATGTATTTATTCACATAAAAATGTATAATTTTGCAAATTAAACAGGTGTGTGAAATAATATTTTAATAATATATTTTAATCATATTTTCTTTTAAAAGTAGCCTTCTTTCTCTCAGGATTTTGTTTTCTGTTGTCTTCCACACACTGCAATATAAATTGTTTTTGTTCTTCATCCACTGTTAAGAGTCGGTTTATATGTTGCATCAATTTCACCCCTTTCTGCTACATCATTAAGAACATTGAGATTCCCGAACGTTTCTTGTCCATCTAAATAAGAATTATTCATATCCCAGAGATCTGGGCTATGAGTCAGAAAGTCAATATCAACACACAATTTCGTTAATAAATTTAAACTTCTATGGAAAATGAAATCCTCTATTGTTTTTTCTGAATACAAAAATATTTTATGTATCTAAATTTCGAATGATTAATTTGCAAATATTTATTAGAACATACTTTTAAACATTTTATTAATTATAAAGTTGACGGCCATATGAAGTCAAAGAAAAATGTTCCATGAAAGTATTCTAAATAAATAAAAATAATGTTATTAATATTAAAATCTTACCTAAAAGGAGTGGGAGCTTCATTAGGGTGAATGGTACGTCTACTTTCAGTGAAAAGACTTTTCCGTTTCAAATTCTCTATGATGCCCTTTTTGGATGTAATACTAACATTTTTATCAAAAATTTCTAAAATACTTGACACTTCATGTAAATACCACAAATGATTGCAAATTTTTTAAAGCATTTGACGAAATTTCCTTATTTATTTTTCTTAAAATTTGTTAAAAAAACTTAAATCATTAAATGGAGCACTCACTGGTTCTTCACACCCTTTTAAATCTAATTGCTCCCTAAACAAAAATATTTTAAATCAATAAATTGCTTTTGCCATCCATCAAGCACGGTGCGATACCCTAATTTTGATAGTTTAGTACAAGTATCTTCCAAAACAACTATTCATAATTCAACAAGCTTCCTATAATAGTTCTTCAATTTTTAAGTATTCAGAGCATTAAAAAGATAATTTCCATTACTCCGTATTTCGCTTTCACCACAAATTTCGCTCAAGTATTTATATCCATCTACAGAATTTTCTATTTCCAAATTATTCCATTTTCTCTTTTTTTAAGAAAACAACATCTGGACCACAATTCACTTAAGGTAACGTATGTTCCAAAACACTTCGTAGCACTAATTCATTTGTGTGGTGACGACATGGAAAATACAGGCTGGTCAAAAAGGACTCGCAAGGCATATTAATGTTGGCAGCGAGGATTCGAGTTTTAAGATCTTGTGAATTGTGTGGTAAGGGAGGAACATACACCCGATCTTAAATGACACCCCAGATAAAGAAATTCATCGGTGTCAAATCTGGGGCGCGAGGGGACCCTGCACGATTAATCCACCGGCCTGGGAAACGATTATCCAGGACAACTCGAATTTCTGTGAAGAAATAAGGAGGTGCACCGTCTTGCTGGAAGTAAAACGGCACATCTTGTTCATCTTCATCTAACTGGGAAATCAGTGAATTCTCAACCATATCCAGATACGCTATACCATTGATATTTTCCTCCGAGAAGAAGAAAAGGCCGTACACTTTGAATTTGCTTAGGGCACAAAACACATTCTCTTATTTCTTGGCGCGCGAGTCCTTGTCTTTGACTGAATGCGGCAGTTCAAAAAGCGCGCCGGAACAACGGCGCGAAGAAGCTTCCCCGAAGTTTGCCGGGGGGCGCACCGGCAAAGGCGCCGGCCAACGGGCAACGAGCGGCCAACGGGCGGAGCAGCAGCGAGCAGC